GATATGCTAAATTTTTGTGGTGTTTTCTTCGCTTTTAAATTTCTAGTGAATCTGCGATTAAAGCAATCTAGTGACTTTTTTACTTTTATTTTATTTATTATTTTTTTTTTGTTTTTTTATTTATTTTTTGCTATTTTTAGTTTTTTTTTTCTTTTTCCGTGTGTGTGTGTTCTCTCTTTGTTTCAGATTTTAACTTTCAGAGCTGTTAGACTGTTAGGTACCAATTAAACCCAGTTTTGGCAAGGGGCTTTATGGACTAGCTTCCAGTGCTCCTATAAGAATAAATTAGAAAGAAAGACAGGTTTGAACGCATTCGTGGTGTCACTGAGATCAGTGACGTCACATACAAACTAAAAGCTCCATCCGCGAAAATGAGCTTCTCAATCTCATGGGTCAACCTCATAGGTTCATACTAGTTCTAGTTCTAGCCTCTAGGTCAAGAACTACTAGTACTAGGTCTGTAGGTCAAGTCTACTATAGGTAGGTCTTACCGTCTTACTACTTCTAGGTTAAGTCTACTACCATGGTCAACCATGCTTAAATGGTGTGCTCTGACCAACCGTCTATTAGCTAATTATTCCGTTCGAGTCCGACCGTAATTGAGATTGACGAAGGCGGCAGCTGACATCTGTGACATGGGTGTTGGGTCGGCACTCGGCAGACGGCAGTGACTTCCCACTGGGCCAACTGACTACTAAGTAGATACATACCTACTCAGGCTACTGCACTTCTAACTTCTAAGTGCTGCTTCGCTTGCTCGCGAATTATTATTGTATTTTACCTACTTGTCTGACCTACGTCCTACGATTTGCAGAGTTCACAACTTCACATACTACATGTAACATCTCAGCTACAAAATGGTTTTAATCTCTGTAGAAACTATGTGTTCCATCACTTGTTCTCAAAGTCACTTCAACTGCAAGCTGGTCAGTACTCAGTGGCAACCTCTCTGGCTCTCTGTCAGCCAGTCTTATCTACAGCTGTTGCCTGCTAGTGCTGCGGTGCTGGTGAATTGGAACTTAACTACCGTAGAGTAGAATATTATTGATGCTTAATAAATATCAGTTGCACTGACATAGGGCCTGTCATAGGCTGACCAACTAGGTTGGTAGCTTCTTAATTAAGGAAGTCCCTGTTATTTTTTTAGTGTACAATATAGTCAGACCTCAGTCACAGACAGACAGACTCACAGTTAGCTGTCGCCTGTCAGTGTACAGTAGTGAGTAGTAAGTAGGTAGGTACCAATACCATCAAACAGGGTAATAAGGGACGGGTGGGGTAAATTGGGACAGTCATCCCACATTTTGTTGAAATGTTGTAGCAGCTAAACTAGGTAATCAAAATATTGCATACTAAAAATAGTGGCATAAAGTTCAGCATTTTTCTATCTATGTAATGTAGTATAAAGTGAGTTTAGAAATTATACATTTACTACCTCTAAAAAATCACTGAGAAAAAATGTGAAAAGTGAGATTTTGGAAACATACTACCTCTGCTAAGTCTACCTAATATCATATCAATAAAGGAAAAACAAGTAATAATCACAAAAAAATTCATTTATTATACATCTACATCATCTACAAAAGAAAAGGATGACTTCAGATTACTGTTAGTAGGCTAATAGATGAGAATGCTCTGAACCATCTGAATGCTTCAAGCATTTTAATAAAAAGTTTGATTTCAAGTGTCCCAGATTACCCTGTTCTCAGGGGTAATTTATGATGCTTTTATTTTGAGTCTGGTACCTTATGAATTGCATATGGAATTTTTTTTAATGTGTCATACAATAGCCTTCGTAAGGAGCTATAAAATGAGCCCAAACTTGTTTATGAAATGTTTCATGGTGAGAAGTTATTAACAAAAAATGCTTAAAACCATCCCTTATTACCCCATTTGACTATACTGTAGTCAGTGTAGTGTACTTCTGTTCTAATGATGAAAAGGATGAGTATGTGTGAAATTAATGTGAAGCAGAGTTAATTAAGAGATTTGATTACAATATTTGTTCTGTGTGATGTGTCTGCGTGTCACTTGTATGGGCTGTGCCTGGCTGCCTGCAGTGGGTAAGCGGGACTGTGTGAAGTGGATCCTCAAATGTATTTATACCCAAATGGTGGCATTCTAAATGCCTTCTCAATGACCATGTACCTATGGAATATAGGAGCATGGCAGCTAAAATAGGAGTGCACGCCACAGAGAAGCAGCATGATGCCCTGGAGGACTGCAGTGTAGCGCTTCAGCACCCAAATCCCTGTCATTTTTTCAACAATTGACAGTCATGTATTACCTTAGAATAGCAAGCCATCAACTTTAATAGCAATAGCAACTTTAATAGCAAGCCAATGGCTTGCTATTAACAATATATGATTAGAGATAAATTCTTAAATCAAAGATTAGAGTGATTTTTTTTTTACTTTTATTACTGATGGGTGATATTACAGTCCAAGATTGTTTACCCATTGTGCTGAGGCACACCAGCAAGTGTTAGCCTGACTGAGCTTCACTGCAGTTTGCACAGCTGGCAGGCAGTGTTATAGCAGCTGTGAGGGTGGGAGGTTGTCTGATGGTAATAGCACCACATTTCTCTAATTTAAGTGATACATTTTCATGCATTTAAGTGGTACAGTTTCCAAATGACTAAGGTAACTTAAAATGAATATTGAATTGAACCATGCTACCAACCAATCACAGCTGTAAAGAGATATGAATCTGCCCAAAAATGACAGAAACTTTATGCACTAGTAGCAGCACTATTCAGATGCTGCACTAACCTCAGCTGCTCACTGCTTGTCACTAAATGCCTATTATACTGGTCACTGGTCAGGCCTATGATTTGTAGCCTAGGGTTTGTAATCTCAATATGATAAGATGACTACAAAGGTGTTTTGATTCCTCTAGAAATATGTGGTTCAGTTATATTTTTAAAATAGATTGCTTCTATTACAGGCTAGCAACTTAGGTGCTGTTTTGATATTATTATCATTGATTTAAAAACCAGAATTCAACTGTCAGTGGGTGAATAATCTTTGTTTCTTTGAAGCACTTTAAATATTCTGCAAAGAAACAATGAAATGTCCACTTATAACCAATCACATTGTTTCAAATAATTTATAGAATGGAAGTATATTTTCATTTCACTCCACGTTTGAAATGTTTTGCCTTGTTGCAAAATATGCTTCTTCATTGCAAAAATGGCAAGAATAATGTCTATTGTCATACATGTGTGAAGTAAAAATAAGTATAAAGTACATTCAAGAATATGTGTGAATTAAATGCAAGTAAGTTCTTAATAAGGATATTCCTTTAATTCTTATGAGACTGACAGATTTTTTACATGATTGTCTTGAAGGAATCTGCCTCTGCTGAAAATTATCATGCAAAAATAACTCAAGCATGGGGCAAGAGTCAAGACTAGGTTGCAACATCAAGAAGGAGAAAAAATTGTGTTGAATTTTGCTGCACAGGTTATGAAATATCTAAGTTCAATAAGCAAAGATGTCATTTAGTTTTCATTGAATTTATTTGTTATTCTAAATGATGGGGGTTATTTTAAATGAGAACCCAAATTAATAATAAAAATTAATATTAAATTAAAAGAATTTATATTTATTGAAGTATCCATTCAAAATAAATGATTTGGACACCAATGGTAGAGGAAGATTAAATTTTTTAACCTACCTATTCAAATGCAGTGTTGGGCAGAAGCGATAGTTACAGAAGTCATGAGTCAGTGCTCAGTGGTTGACCTGAGCATTGTTAGGACGCGTAGGAAATGAAGATTTATCTCTACACTTCTGGCCACCAAGATCACCTGATCTCATGTGACTACGTATTTCATATGGGTTTACGTCATGGAAGCTGTTTACGTCCCGCCTCTACCAGCAAATCGGCTTGATCTGAAGAACCGTATCACTGCTACGGTACACTCAGTAACAAAAGATATGCTGTCTCGTGTGTGAGACGAGTTTGGCTGCCGTTTAGATGTTTGCCGTGCAGTACAACGGGGATATTTTGCCGTGCAGTACAACGGGGATATTTTTTACGGGATATGTATGCATAAAAAATTATATCCCTCCTCTTTTCATTGGTGTATAAATTATTCCTATTAAATTTATGCATAAATTAATAAAATTTATTAAATTGGGTCCATCATTTAGAATAACCCTGCTTATTTATTCTGCTTTAAAATGAGACTTAGACATAAAGACACCTGACGTCAAGTACTTTGAACAGAGTTTCAAAGCAATGCTTTAGAATATAAAGTACCTTTGGGCTTGTGGGTTTAACGATGCAATTTTAAATTGGGATGTCTCATTTCCATGCATTAGAGGCTATGTGCAGCTATATTTCAGTTATGGCATCTGCAGCAACCTTGCCATGCTGAGCAAACAAGCGCAGCCTATGTGTTGCTATACTATTTTCATTCTATGACAATAGACAATATGCAAGGGATAATTACGTCAAGACCGGACGACCGAAAATAATCTCTTACTTCAATTTAATCTTAATTTAAGTGTCGCCAAATGATTATTTGGTGACAAATTTATAAATATACTTGCTGGCAAAAAATATTTTGCTTCCTATCGTTCTTATCGTGTTCTTTTGCCCGACCATTTTTTGTTTTCTTTTGACAGAATTTTCTCGTGATGGAGTTGGCTGCAGCGTTTTACTACAGACGAGCTCGTAGACGTGAAAGAGTGTACCACGATCCTCTAGATCCTTTGCATATTAGTGACGAGAAGTTACTCCGGCAATACGGGTTCCCGAGAAGCGAGGTTCTCCATTTAATAAAAGAACTTGATCCTTATCTTAAACGACGTACCCAGAGGTCTCATGCTATACCAACGCACACGCAAGTGCTGCTTGCCCTAAGATTTTATGTACAGGGATGTTATCAGAATACAATAGCTGAAGATGCTGGTGTTACACAAACTAGTGCATGTCGAATCATAAATTCGGTGACTCATATACTCTCAGAAAAGTCTAGGGTTGCAGTCAAGATGCCGACGTCAGAAACTGATATTATTTCAAAATGGGAAGAATTTGGGAAAATTGCTGGCTTTCCTCGCGTAGGAGGGGTCATAGCTACTACTCATGTGGCGATTAAACTTCCTCACAAAAATCCTCTCGTTTACCTTAACGACTATGAATTCCATTCTTTGAAAATTCAAATAATTTGTGATGCGGACGGTCTCATCCTTAACTACAGCGCTGACAACCCTGGCAGCTTCCCTAATGACAAGATCTGGACGCACTCGATTATACGCCAGCGTATGGAGGACAAAGAATTCGGCGAGTCATTGCTGCTAGGTGAGTAATTTTCTACTACTTCATCCTACGCTCATTTATACGTTGAACTGACCTTCAGTTCTCCGCTGTTTAGAATAGAATAGAAGTGTCGGCACTTCTTGAGAAAATGTTACTGTTACGAACTACGAATACTGTTACGAACTAGTAGCTGAAATTTCTCATTGACGATAGTTCAGTGCCTTCAGGCATGTGTAAAAAGCAATTTCTGTGTTTTGATCTTTCGCTGTGTGCACCGCGGCTGATTTACCTTTGACTGCGTGCGGTCAAAGAACTGACAGAGGATATGTTGGTTAAATTATTTGTCTACGACGCTTTCACTGTCTAAAAGTCCAGCACTCTCTTTCTATTAATTGAACAAGTTATTCTATGATAAGCCGAGAAATAAAATTCAAGTTCTGTCGACCTGCAGGCATCAAATATGGTTATTTTTCCTTCATTTTTTACCTCGAAATTTATCGAGGCTCCCATTAAATCTTATCCGCTATATATATTGATGCTATTCTATATTATGATTCAAGTAACTATTATATGAAAGTCTCAACAATGGAAATAGCTTATGTCTTCTCAGGCATCTCGCTACTCCAATTTCATGTTGTACCTTTAACGTAAACATGTTTACAAATGCCGTCTCATGCACGTATGCAAACGCTGCATTGTGATAGCGCCAACCTTTGTTGCTGTAGTACGGTAGCATAGTCTTCATGTCTAGAGTTTGGTCGACATGTCTAGAGTTTGGTACTGAATTTACAATAATTTTTTGTTGTGCAGGTGACTGCAGTTATCCTCAGGAAACTTACCTGATGACTCCGTTCGTGCATCCTGTTACCGCTGGTCAGCTTGCTTACAATACCAGCCTCACCAAGACTAGAGCCGTCGTGCGTCAATGTGTTGACACGCTGAAAGCTCGCTTCCAGTGCCTCCGCAAGTCCAGTGGAGCTCTCAGATACTCGCCCGACAGATGCGCCAGAATTGTCGAGGCTTGTATTTACTTGCACAACTTCTGCATACAGCGGAACGTTCCATTCTATAATAATGAGTTATGTAGTGAAGAAGTCGTGGATGATGTGAGCACTACGCACGTGTATCAGGTTGCGCTAACTGAAAACGGTAGACGAGCGCGAGATGAAGTGGTTAGGCTAAACTTCTCTGGAGCTTTGGGTCAATCGATTGTAATTTGAAAATACCTACTCCAAAAATACGAACTAACCTGTACTAGATACGTCCAAATTAACATTTCTTCGGTTATGGGGTGTAAGAAGGTAGAGATTATTTTTCCAAATCTGCCATTTATTTGTAAGAGACGTATTCTTTGCTGCATAGCTAGCTCTGTGTGTACATAAGAAATTCGGAGCAATGGTGATCATTGTTTCGCCTTTGTTTCATCTATGCCTAGTCACGAATGGATCTTCCCTATGTTAAGACGGGGGTTAACTTAGATATCGACTCATTGATTATTTTACAATGTCACTTAATTTCTTTGCATACGTATTGACTGGAAAGGCTCTTTTAATCCAGCTAACCAGGCCCGTATCCATTTTGATTTTCAATTGTGCTCTTTCGTTTGCAGTCTCCTTCCTCTATTTTCCCTTTGCTAGCCTTTAACCTTAGACAAGACAGCTACGGTATTTGTCGTGAGTGTATCCGTGATGGTGGTTTTGTGGCCGCTATCGGGGCTGCGGCTATGCTTGCTATCTGCGCCCTCTCTCGTGCTGTTCGCCAGCTTAGTGTCCTGTGCCGTCAACCCCGATGAATTGCGTGAGTATACCCGTCGTTTTCCATTATAAAGTTTATTGACAAAGATTCTTGATGCGCTTATAAAAGTTGCTATCAACTATTTTAACTTTTATTAGCATAGATCGTATTTTATTCAAGTCTGTCACGTGTGACTATACCTATTATGTTAGCAATGATGAGCTGAGTTTTTAAAGTATATATTCATTTCTACGTCAGCTTTCACTAGATTTTGGTTGTTTTTATAGATAATTGATTAAAATTAAGTCTTCTCCTGCATAATTTCGCCCCCGTGTTAACAAGCTTTTATAAATTTTAATTCTGAAACTGATTCGGTTTTCTTTCAAAATTTTGCCTAAGTTAAGTAAGTTGACAAGCTTGACCCGCCATCGCCGTAATGTTGATCTTTGTTCAGATTCATCGTCTTTGTTCAGATTCATCGTCTTTGTTCAGATTCATCGTCTTTGTTCAGATTCATCGTCTTTGTTCAGATTCATCGTCTTGTTCAGATTCATGGTCTTTGTTCATCATCGTCTTTGTTCAGATTCATCGTCTTTGTTCAAATTCATTGTCTTTGTTCAAATTCATCGTCTTTGTTCAGATTCATGGTCTTTGTTCAGATTCAGGTCACTGGTACAAGCTTGGCGTGGAGGACATAACGGAGGCACTGCAGCGGACGCAGAACACCAAGGTTGCCAGGAATGTGCTGCTATTCCTGGGCGATGGTGAGGTTAGCAGAAGACAGAAACAAATACGTTAACTTGAAATAACTCCAAGTGAGCATGTTAGATTGTCTGAAATCTCAAGGAACTAGAATTGTCAAGTTTTATGTTCTTTTTAGCGGTTTTTCTCCTTTATGGAAAAAAATGCACTTCTGTGCTCGTCATGTCCGTCAGTCTGGCTGTCCGTCTGTCTGTTCGTTCGTCCGTGACTTCATGTTTTCGTCGACGAGAAAATGCGCTCTCTGTCACTCACTGCAGTGAGTACTGAGTTATATTTTTTTAGAAATATGCTAGCAACAAAAGCAGTGGAGCGAACATTAAAAATTGAAATTTATTCCCAATGGAGAAAGTACCGTTATTTGTTATCTTCTTCACCATTCAATTTTACCTAATTCAAATTAGTTCAAATGGTGAAGTGGTTCCTCAAATTATAAAATTTGATTCGACTTCAGGTGGTTGAGCCAAGGTCATTGTTGTATAATCTTCAACATTACTTAAACCTGTTGTATTGCAGGCATGGGAATTTCCACCATCACTGCTGGTCGCATTTTCAAGGGCCAAAAGGAAGGAAAGTCTGGGGAAGAAGGATACTTGTCTTTTGAACGCTTCCCAGACATGGCCCTTCTTAAGGTACAGAGAGAACTGTCTCTTTATCAAATTGTAATTTATGAACTATTTTTATTAACGTAGATAATTCACTCACACGGACATTAACGGATTTTTTCTTCAAAGTAAAATATGCGTATTTTCAAGCAATGTGTGAAATATTTGTATTTCATCGCAATGAGACATGTAGTAGAATGTTTTGCACACTTATCATAATACCTATATTGACGAAAAGTTGTACTCATTGGCCTAGTTGATATCACTTAAAAGATTTGAGTTCAATGCTCTAATCAGTCGGAATTGATGCCCCCCTAATTTACGCAGACCTATAACGTGGACAAGCAAGTGCCTGACAGTGCGGCCACTGCAACGGCTTTCCTTTCGGGCGTTAAAGGGAACTTTTACACCCTGGGCGTGACGGCCGCGGTCAAGAACGGCGACTGCGCCTCTTCATTGTTGCCTGAAAATCGACCAAAGTCCATCCTGACTTGGGCGCAGGAGACAGGCAAAGAAACAGGTCTGGTGATGAGGCTTTACGGCTTGGAACAAAACGGACTTTTGTTTTAACAAAGTTATGATTTTACTTTGGGTACTGCAGGACGGTATCTTTAGGAACTGAATTTCAACACTACTTTCACTCATCAAGTCTCTACGATATATTGGTTTTGGTCGCAGGTGTCACTGAAAAGCGGTGTTTAATCTCATCCAAACATCAGAGTCTGTTAACCCTATCCACTCATCGCATTTGTTTGTCAAGCCACCTCCCGCCTCGTCATAGTCGAGTTACAATGTATCAAGTTATCGCGCTTGTTTGTCAAGTCAACTCCCGCCTCGTCGTAATCGAGTTACAATGTATCAAGTTATCGCGCTTGTTTGTCAAGTCAACTCCCGCCTCGTCATAATCGAGTTACAATGTATCAAGTCATCGCATTTGTTTGTCAAGTCAACTCCCGCCTCGTCATAATCGAGTTTCAATGTATCAAGTCATCGCATTTGTTTGTCAAGTCAACTCCCGCCTCGTCATAATCGAGTTTCAATGTTTCACAAGTCCAAGTTTTCAGGCCTCGTGACGACCACGCGCATCACGCACGCAACTCCAGGCGCTGCGTACGCCTCATCAGCGCAGCGCGAGTGGGAGTGCGACGCTAAGATGAAGCAGGAGGCCGATCCTTCAGTCCTGCACTGTAAGGATATCGCCCGGCAGCTCGTAGAAGATCAGCCTGGCATGAACTTGAAGGTGCGCCTTGCGAGAAATGTATTAAGTGGCATTCGTGTTTATATGATGTTATATGAAATTTTGTATGTGATATGAAAGCAACTTATATTTTTCAGAAAAAATATATTGCCGAAGATGAAAATAAATGTATCTGATTGCAACCACATTGCAAGTAACGGCAAGGAGATCTAATTTAGACTTAGCTTCAGTGCTTATAAGCATGGCTCTTTATTAAGAAATATCAATATGAACTATGATTTCCAACGTGGAGCTAAGGCACTGTGTGGGTGATGAAAGTTTAATGCTCCAAGCACTGTGTAGGTGATGAAAGTTTTATACTCCTGTCACACATCGACATGCGTGCTGGTTGGAAAGGTTAACATTAAAGGGTAGTCGCAATTCACTCCTCAGTTGATTTCTTGATGAATTTGACAACGTAAAGCGCTTAAACCTAAGCCAATGATATCAATGTTTGCCATTACCAATAATTTGTATATACATCCTAGTTGATACATATAAATAATTATATAATAAAAACTAATAAATGTTGCTTTCTTCAGGTGATATTCGGCGGAGGTCGGCAAGCTTTAGGAGCTCAGTTTGACAACTCGACGGCCACTTCCTGCCGCCGTCTGGACGGTCTGAACCTGGCGCACAAGTGGCAGGAGATGCGACAGGCTGAGGGAGCCTCTTATGCGTACGTCACCAACACGGGGCAGCTCAGAGATGTCAACATTGACAACGCTGAGTTCATTTTAGGTGTGTTGTGCTTCGGATGAGTTGTTAGGTACGGACGGATTTTTATTTTCTGTCTCACGAAGTTGCTCACCCAGATGCCGGAAAGCTGTTTGTTATTGCACCGAACTTTTAATTTATTTAAGCGATTTCTTATTATGTTTTGTTTATTAAAAACTGTTGCTGATAAACTGTTTTCAATAATTGATCTATATATGCTAACGCAGTACCTATGTTTTTAACTATTAACTCGATTATCATAGTTTTGTGGATAATAGCACTTCAGTAGTAAATCGGTCTGCGGTCACGTTATTGTGTTCGCACAGTACTTTTCTCTCCCTGAAATCATTGGAGCATCTCGTCAGTGTCTGGGCACGTCCGTTTCTCTCACCTTAAATCATTAAAGCATCACATGCTCAGGTCTGTTTGCGGACAATCACATCCCGTACGAGCGCGACCGCGACCTCGGTGTTGCCGGTGAGCCGAGCCTCAGCGAGCTCACAGCCACCGCTATCAAGAGACTCAGCCGGGCAGAGGAAGGCTACTTTCTCATAGTCAGTAGCTTTATTTTATTCGCCTTTGCTTGCAAAATTCTCTATAATTTTCATTGTTGAATTTATTTACTTTACATAGAGACCTAATTTCTTCACGTCTTCATTTCATTTGATGCAAGCTTCAAAATTTGTTGCACTGGCTCTAGAATCCGTTCTATATTATTATTATCACAATTATTGTAGTAATTGTTTTATAAATTACTCGAGGTTGAAGGCGGTCGCATCGACCACGCCCTGCACGACGGCAAAGCCCAGCTGGCACTGGAGGAAATGCAGACGTTTGACGCGGCCATCAGCACGGCGCTGGAGCTCGTCGACCTCGACGAGACGCTCGTCATCGTCACGGCCGACCACAGCCACGGCCTCGCCATCAACGGCTACCCTGAACGCGGCAACGATATTCTGGGTGACTTTTTCACCTCATTAATAATATCAATACGGATTTATTATGCATAGTATATCAGCACCCGGTACTTAACCTCGGAAATTTGTTTATATTAAACACGTCGTAGTGATCACAGCCACGGCCTCGCCATCAACGGCTACCCTGACCGCGGCAACGATATTCTCGGTGATTTCTTTATCTTTGCTTGTAGCTTATTAATAATATCAATAGGAATTATTATATCAGTACTGAACCTCAGAAATTTGTTTATTTTAAACACGTCGTAGTGATCATAGCCATGGCCTCGCCATCAACGGCTACCCTGACCGCGGCAACGATATTCTGGGCGATTTTTTTTACCTGCTTATAGCTCATTATTAATATCAATACGGATTTATTTTGCATAAATCTGTACCCGGTACTGAACCTCGGAAATTCATTTGCATTAAACTCGTCGTAGTGATCGTAGCCACGGCTACCCTGAAAACGGCAGCGATATGCCGGAAGATTTTTTTCCCTCTGTTTATAACTCATTATTTAATGTCAGTACTAAACTACGGCGATTATTTCATATTTTTATTAGGCATGTCGTAGTGCTCATGAAGCCTTCAAAATTTTCCAATGTTGAATTATTCAGAGTTACGCTGTCATTTATAATCACTTAATTATTGTTTTAATGTTTTCAAAACATACCGGGCTATGTTTGCTTCATTCCGTGGAGTAAGTTTAATAGTTATTCAGAATACAATAATTTTCGATTCATTAGCAACATTAATCTGATTCCTTAGTATACCGATAGTAGTAATCCAATTTCTTAGTTTAATAATAATTATACAAAGTTCATATCACGGCAATGTCATTCTACGTCGCCTTATCATCCGTTACTCTTTTTTAATTGATGTTTTAAACACCGCCTACAAGACTTTTTTGCAAGCACTGCACTCTCAACTATGAGTCTTTATTTGTTTATTATTTATTTTTATTTCTTTGCACAGCATTCTTCATTTAGATGTTCTTAACGCAGGCACGAGCTTCTACAAAGACGGCGTTACAGACGGCATGCCGCACATGACTCTCATGTTCACCACGGGGCCAGGCTTCAACTTCTCCTATGACGGAACTAAAGTACAAAGCTGATATTGCTTAATATCTTGGGTGTAATATATTTTTTAATAAATGTCTCTTCATTGTGTACTGTCTTCTTTGTATAGTGTAATTCATTCCATGGTTCAATAAATAATTATTGTGCAAATATCGGCCTGTTGCGTTTATTGATCGCATAGAATCCTGGTGAAACGAGTGCATTACAAAATTACGCTATCTGTAGCCCCAGGTTTTGTGATTTATTCATGAATTTATTAATCTATATTTGTTTCCAGTGAGAAAACTAATATCTTCAGTAAACTATTTCACTTTAAATTTTACTCATTACAGCAAACTCATGAATGTTCTGAAAAATAATACGTAAGAAATGCTAGTTGTTTCAAATGTTGTAACAACACTCGTTAAACATTTTTTAATTACTCCGCCAATATTAGTGTTAATTTTTCAATGAATATGTTTTCATTTCGAATGAATGTGTTTTTATTTCAAACGAATGTGTTTTCATTTCAAATAAATGCATTTCATTTCAAATGAATGCGATTACATTTGCAATAAATGTGTCTTCATTTCGAATGAATGTGTTTTTATTTCGAACGAATGTGTTTTCATTTCAAATAAAAGCGTTTTCATTTCAAATGAATTCGATTTCATTTGCAATGAATGTGTTGTCATTTCGAATGAATGTACTCAGGTTGCGCGCGTGAACGTCTCAGGCGTTGACGCCAACGCGTCGTCGTACATGTTCCCCGCGGCGGTGCCTACGAAGGTCGGCTGGTCCATGCACAGCGGGGAAGACGTTGCTGTGCATGCCGTCGGTCAGTCTTCATAGTTCACCTTTCTTGTTCTAGTTCTGTGGGCTCTCTGCTTCTGTTTTGGTCATTGGATTTGTGAAGTGAATGTGTCGTGGATAATTGCATGTTTTGCGAAACTGAAATGTTGGTAGCTGCTTATTTTTCTAGTTGGAAAAGTTGTATAGACTTTTGTATACACCTTAAATGAAGTTGAGGTGTATGGGTTTAAAAAATTTGGGTTTAAAATTCAGGCTTTCACATTTTTGTTTCCTATCATCAGTTTCACACAATGCGAAAGCGCTCGCTCATTCCGTGCTAAAACCAAGATAACCACGGTCAAGGGCCGAAAAAACTAATTTTCAACCTCCTAATACTACTCATTTCCTCCCGTCCTCAGCCTTCATGATCACTAAATACCGAGCAAACCCTCATATGGCCTGGATGCTATCTACAATTTATTTTGAAATTGGTCTTAATATTGGAGTTTTTGTATCATTGGAGCTTTTTTATCATTCTTGAGCATTTTCTATCCAGCCTGTACGTGTTTCTATCACTAAAGACCTATTCACAATATCAGGTCCGTGGTCGCACCTATTCCATCGGACACACGAGCAGACGTACGTGGCGCACGTCATCGCCTACGCCGCGCAGGTCGGGCCCTTCGCGCAGCAGCGGCCCGAAGCGCCCCACGCGCTCTGCTCCTCCTCCGCTGTCGCTCCTCAGGTCTTCCAGGCCGCTGTGGTGCTCTGCGCTTTTCTTCTTCTTCTTCAGCGAGTCTAGTTAAGCGTCGTGCATCACAGCGATTAGAATCGTGTTCTACCTACTCTATGTCTTATGACGTTACATTAAAATCAATTGTTGCCGTTCATAGTGTTCGGGATTACCTCGATTTTCTTCCCACTTTTTTTGTTGAGATGTTTATCATTTAGTTCGCCATTTAACTCGATTATTTTTATAAAGTTTATTACCAGTTTTTATTCCAGTTTATATGAGTTTCTGCATAAATATCAACCACACTATATTATATATTTCTACCTCACTTTGTAGAAAATATAATGATTATTTGTTCTGTTGCAATAGGTGGATGGATGAGGTGTACAAGTGATCTGCATGTCCATGTGCAGTTTACTCAAGTTTCCAAAGTCATTAGTTAGTCTTCATCCACTCTGCTGCGTGTTCAGTTCACAGCCTTTCTACGGGTCACATTGGAACTCCGTGACCACGGTGCACACGTGGAAAACCGCAATGCAATAAATAAACATCCATGATAATACATCTCTTGACGCAAAATGTCTTCATTTAATGGTAATGCTCTAGTAATTTTTGCAGCTGAACTAACATATTTATTTGTGCCATTTCCTACTTATTTTCAACATTTCATGTATGTAAGGTTTGCATCGTGTTCGTTAACAGAGTTCCGAGTTAACCAAGACATTACCAAGGCACGATTACTGTTTCGATTTTGGAAAGTACGTATTCATTTTGAGTTTATGCCTACGACAACTTCTATATTCCTTACCAGTATTAATGTTTCAGTATTAACTAGCCCTTAATATTTAATGCTCTCAATATTTCAGTATTCTTGAGGATTACACGTAGAAAACATTAGGAATTGGAAGAGTCTCTTGACTTAAGTTACACTTGTTGACAATCATCTTGGATTTGCGTGAAATATGTGACGCGTGTAAGCAGCTATTGTCCTCGCTCTATTTCATAAGTTTTATTAACAAGAATTATATTATTAACAAGCTATATTCGTGCTTCCAGTCAAGATACCTGCGTTTAGCCTGTATGTCCGCGTTGTTTTCCCTGCTTGATACATTATATTATTTTGTATTATTACTCTTTGCCAAATCTGCCGTTGAATTCTTTGCAAATAATTAAGTGTTATTTTCTCTCTACTGTTCTTAGTCAGCATACTAACTAACTAACTAATTATCTAAGCACGTTTCTTGTTGTTTGACTTTATGTTAATTATAGCATCTTTTTATGTTTATTTTCTGTGTTTACTAACGGTAAGGTTAATATCTATGACAATCTTGGATCTGTTAGGATTCTTGCTGGTCTATTGCCACTTGCCATGTATTGTGTAACAAATAATGACCTACTGAATATGCCTTTGTTTTTAACTGTTCTAAGTAATGCGATCTACGAGTACAGGTCAGGTTAGCTCATTCACACGTGTAGCGTCTACCGCAAGTATAATCAGCATTCCGATACGTCGATACGATCAAGACTTAGTTGACCGGGACTCAATGCGTACATTAACTTATTTTATAAATCTTGTGTTGGTTTGGTACAAAAATAATCCCGAATGTGTTTTCGTTTCCTAGATTTGTTACCGATGTGCTAAAAAATTTGCGATAAATGGGTGCTACTGCTTTATGCTCATACGGAGGAAAATTTAGCTTCCACAGTGCGAGATGCCGGGGATGAATTTTATTTTTTTTCTGTTTTGTTTAGAGAGTTTTTACCGTTTAATACCAGTTTCTTAAGACAATGTGAAGGTGTCTTGCCATAATGTTGACTCGATGGTTCAGCTTCAATGTGAAGCTAGAGTAGCTTTTTCTGATTTTCTGTCAAGCTTCTTTAATGATATTTTCTTTACGCTGTCACGCATCTCACAGGGATTAGTTTTCAGTAGTTATCCCCTCCATGCTGGTAATAATTACTAATACGAGTTGATAATTTGTGAGTTGACCTGACCATCGCCACTGATCATTATTTCGTGTCCTGTGAAAACCATGACCGACTCTTGTCCTGCCATTTAGGTTGCGATGCAATCCTGTATCCAAGTACTTTAAGTTGAACGCGCTGTCTTTTTAGAACCCACCTTTAAGAATTGTTATTTATTTGCATTTACTTGCCATTATCTTGCAAGTTTGTAACGTATTAATTATTCCGGAAAATTACGATGATTAAGTCTTAATTATCTTTCTCTGAGCTTCAGTGGTTGGTTTAAATTCGTTGTCTTAGTCTCATCACGTCTAAGAAATGCTACCCAATTCGAAACCGCGACAACTTCAGGCATGCACAAAATGCTTTGAATTACATTTTATTTAACTGACTTGAAATTTTATGCTCTATTATAACGCGAGAAGCTGTTATTTATTAAGGGGATCCAAAATCCAATCATTTGTGCCGAAATGTTAACATAAGACTTATCATTTTTATTGTTATGTGTTTTGTTTCATTTTGTTCTAATATTCAAATACATAAAGTTTTGACTGTTGTTTAAACGATGTTTTAATACCGATGATGCAGAGGAGCAGTTGGCATTATAGAATTTCTTCTCCTGAAATGAACTCTGTTTTCACTGAGCTAGCCCCACTACGGACGCACAGTCCGATTATTACAGTTTTTGGTGAATTTCTTGGGTTTTCTGCTCATGACTACCTACATCAAGAAGTTAGTACGCAATCGCTCAGCCTGGTGACGGTGCTGTGTTGATGATGGTTCACTCCGAGCATCATTTGTTCGTATTTGAACGAAGTATTTCTAACGTGGGCAGCACCAGTCGGGCTAACGGGGGCAGCTGTCTACTGTACGTCCCGTCTCATTAGGCTATTTTCATCATCCATAACTTACTGAGTCTGAAAAGGGAGGATGGTCATGAACAAGTAGGATTGCGCAAAAAGAAAACCGTCAATTTCATCTAATCACGAAAATTAATAAGAGAAACTGAACCCAGAGGCGAACGCCAATGACATACTCTCACGACAAATGCCGATTGTCTATGTCCACCACAAGTCAGATCAAAGTCGCTCGGGAAATAAAGGTCAATGAAGCCGTAAGAAACACCGCTGTAAGGAGCGGTGATGAGCTAAATCCAATAATTAGCAGAGACCCCGAGCTCTTCCAGTGAGTCACCTGAGCATATGAGACAGAGAAGCACGCGACGCGCAGGGGGTCGGGGTCGGGCTCGGTACTTTTTACAACACTTCTCTTTAACTTCACTTCTTGTTTGTCTGTCTGTCTGTCTGTCACGCGACGCGCAGGGGGTCGGGGTCGGGCTCGGTACTTTTTACAACACTTCTCTTTAACTTCACTTCTTGTTTGTCTGTCTGTCTGTCTGTCTGTCTGTCTGTCTGTCTGTCTGTCTGTCTGTCTGTCTGCTACAAATCTTGTAATCGAAATTTAATACACTTCTACTTATCCTATCGATCTAAAATTTTGCACACCTGTTTAAAGTTGGAGACAATGCATGAATCAAATGTCAAAATAAATGATTTTTAAAATTTAATTTTTTTTTTCAATATTAAAAAAATTGAAAAAATAATTTTGTCAGCTACAAATCTTATAACTGATATTTGACACACTTTTACCTATCTAATTGATCTGAAATTTTGCACACTTGTGTGAAGTCAGAGGCAATGCATGAAATCATGAATCAATTAACAGAATAAATAATTTTGAAAAAAATTTATATATTAAAAAAATTTATACCTATATATTAAAAAAATTGAAAAATAAATTTTTCTAATTTTCGAAAATTAGATGAGAAATTCATTGTACATCTGTAAGATTGGAGATACTGGATTCTTTTGGAAGGGTTGTCTTTAAAAAGTAATTTTTAAACGTATTTTATTTTAGAACTGAGGAGGCAGTTAGAGCAAATATAATTTCAGGCGAAGTATCGACTGAGCCAGAGACTCCTGGAAGTGCAGTGTCGGTACAGGTATGAACACAAAGGGGAGAGTCTGGGATGAGCTCTTCCCCCGAAGAGCGCGTCACAAGAGTAGCGTACTTAGAGAGATGGCCGACGAGGGCGGGATCTTTATGATGACACTAAAAGAGTCGCACCGTAGAAAATAAATCCATGATGCCAAAATTGCAGTTGAAGGCATCGAGTAGTACCGCGCAGACCGAAAGGTAGGGAGTAGTAATTTTTTACGGTAGGAACTCAACTCCCTCGTATGAAGCACGGTCTAATGGAGTTCGAACTCCGATGGCTTTATTGAACATGTGCTAATCCACATTAAACAACTCGACATCTGCGTAGTCCTAATTTATAGACCACCTGCTTGTCCATAGGATAATTCCAACAATACCCACAAGGAGAAAGAGACTAAGGTGGCTGGACCGGTGGCTGGACTTACCCTCAACCTGAAAATGGGAGAGATTTCAGTCTTTGTAGCGGGTGCGAGGCTGATCAACGCCTTGCCTAAAGAACTGAGTGGGGGAGAATTCTCCCTTGGGACATTCAAGAGACGACTAGATGAGTTCTTGAGCCGATCCGGGATCGCACATATCTCTCTCTCTCTCTCTCTCAATAGGCCAATTTAGCTATATTAGCCAATTTAGCTATATTTGCGGCCGCTTTAGGAGGAGCTGTGGCGTGTGTCACCCATCGTCGTGTAGCTTTTGATGTGAAGAAGCTTTAGCAAAAAAAACGAAACAGATATGATACCTCATTCAGAAGTTATGTCGAAATTACGATTTGCAATCAATATCTTGTATATAAAAGATAAATATTCTGGCTGCAACCATCTTTTTTTTGCTGATTTTTTTCACGCCGACGTGTAAGGAAAAATTGTGAGTGGTGAATGTACGGTGAACTCAAAATTCTAAAACCCGAGAGCCGTTTCTCGTCCATCCCCAATTGAAAAATTCGGACCGACTATCAGCGGCCGCTGTTCACGCGCTCTAGAGTCGCCTGTAATTTTTAACATAAGGAACGATGTTCGGTGTGGCTTGACTGCAATGTTTTTTTTGCAGGGAGTTCGTCATAATCTACGTGTCAAATTTATGAATAACTCTGTTCTGGGTTGACAGTCATAACCTTGAAAGGATCTGTGTGATCTATTGTAGATAAACCTGAGGGGTTTGGGTTCGTTTATCATTGTCCGAATAACATATTAAATAATCATTGGCCAGGGAAGGATAATAACAAGACGTGTATCTAAGCGTAAGTATTGAAGATAGGTTCACGGGATACACTAGATAGAAGTTTCAGGATCAATGCACAGTATGTGCAGTAATTTTGGAGATAGAGTGTAACGACACTGCGTGTTGGTTGCGAGTGCCGGAGTCTAAAGGCCCGTTTACACTAGTGGCAACGACATGCGCTTTGAGTCGTTTGCTGCAGTGCCTCACCGCGCACAACCGTTTACACTACTTTTGTACTCGGTTGTTTGAGCCCGCGCGCTTTGAACACTAGTTGCCACCTAGACGTCAATGAGGACGGATGTAACCGAATGTGAGCTGTGGGCCATTGTTCTCGGGTGTGCTGCGGTCCGTCATTCTGCGCACTATGCCATTTGTAAACGAGAACTCAGCATAGGCATCATAATTAGAGAAGTAGCACATTCAAAAACATACAGTTTATAAAAAATATAGTCTATTCTTAAATAAAAAGCTCCAATATTCGTACCGAACTATCTACTAACTAAGAATTTTAAAGAAAAGAATAGTCCACAAAAATTCATATCTTTATAGAAAACGTTTCGGAGACCAGCTCCATAGTCAGTTCGTAGAATCTAGAATCATAAATTAATACATTGAAACCATAGAACGAATTGAATTTCTTTAATTGATTAATTTAGATTTTCAATTTGATTTAAATGTTTAATTCAATTTAAATTCTTAGTTAATTTGCGATTTAAGCATACAAGTGATATCAATTCTTTAATAGCTATCTACTAAGCGCCGCGCTTGTGTTGCATGAGGCATGGCCCCTGTCAATCGCTAGCTCGTCAATCGGTCAAAAAGCGCATGCAGAGGCTGCAAAGCGCCTCTGCATGCGCTTTGAGGCACTTGACTCTCGTGTGTTGCCCCTAGTGTAAACGGGCCTTAAGACGACGTGAGCTCTTCTAGAGTTTGCAAAATTGCAGGCTCTACGATGACTGCCTACCGCCTATGACTGCCTGGCAGTCGGCTCACCGAGCTTATATATACGCGGTGACCCGCAAGTAGTGACGTCACAGAAGGTGACGTAATAGTCGCTAATGACATCACGGCCTGACATACGCACCCTCAGCAAATACTAAAATAGTAATCAGAAGCATATGGCAGCAGCAGGTTTAAATGCACGGTATTCCTGTTCAACGTTACCGCCGGGCCCCGGGGGCGGGGCGACTTGCCTATGGATGGTTTGGGGATGGAGGACGTTGGAGGTAGCGCATGGGCGTGGCCTAGGACCAGGAAGTCTTGAACTTGACATAAGGACATGTATTGGTTGGCTTATTATTGTATGAACTTATGCACTTGACAAAACGATTAACCGGTAATTTTTTACCGGTTACCAGCAAAAAGTAATTTTTTAACTCCGCTATCTCTTCAATAAATTTCACGTCTGCTGATATTGTTGGCTATGCTAACATTCATATTTTGACTGGAATATTTTGATATTTTCCTAAACCAATATTAGTTGTCATATACATTTTTTATTGTTAAAATTAGTGAAAATGTCCAAATTGAAGTTTCAAAGCGAACTTTTACAATGTTCACCCAAAATTCAATGTTGAATATTAGATGTTCTTTGTGTATCGATTACAGCCTACATGTACTATGTATACGAGTGCATAGCATACACAATCCATGATTTAGCTGGCATCAGTCTCGTTCGAACTGTGATACAGTGTGGTTGTGACTAAAACGCTCCTTCGCTCGAAGCACCATATACGATAATAATACGTGGTGTGTCCAG